GTGGACATAAGGACAGCTGCAGATATGCAAGTGAGCGAGATATTGGCTGGAGAGGAGCACAATTAGCTGTCAAACAGGAAGTGCAGTGGAATGGCTTAAATCGGGAAGTTCATGGGAGGAGCAAAGAATTTAAGGTTCACCAGAAACAAGAGACAAGACAAGATTATCCAAAGAGATCAGACTGGGATTCAGCATCTCAGGTGGCACAAAAAAAGCTACCGCCAGACACCACATAGTTTGCAGGTTCAGATCTGGACCCTGTAGCAGTATGTTTTATCAACTACAGTATATCGTGAAGTATACTGTGTCTATCTAAGGCTCCAGCACCAGTAATCTACCACTTCAAGCAAGTTTATATTGCCGTCTGTGTATCTGCTGGGGCAATTCAACCCCCTAATTATTCAGGTGACCATTGTCACCAGGATGTGTCCTGTTCCTGTGACTACTCTCTAGTCCGTAGACAAAGCTAAAAACTAAAAGCTAACAAAGGTCTGGGCTTTACATATGCTTAAAAACTCCAAAGCATTTTCACAGAACCTTGCACTTATCTATCCGTTTCAATGATGATAAAATAATTAAACGAACTGTTTAGACTTCACTTTTTGTCATAAGAGAAAACAATCATATCAATAAATCATCGCAGCTCCTTTTTTCATATAACTCACTGTTATTATAGAAACAAAATTGATATTGCTATATCATAGGATTCTGAACTCTGCTTGCTCCTCAACCAATTATTCTGCTTCAAGAATGGGGAGACAAGCTGGCTAATTCAAACATAAACCTTTGATGTTTATCCTAGTATAATTAAATTGAGCAATTTTGTCAATTTTTTTCCTGAACAGTTTAAAAATCATCACAATGGAGCAGAAGAGATAAAATGAACTTTTGAGTGGTCTACTGGTGATATTTTTAAGTTGACATGCACGGATTGCTAAAAATGTGAACGTCATTATAAAAGAGGATGGAATATTGTTGAAAGCAGCTCTCACTGATGAGTGGTAATGTTTTAGATGAGGGCAATACAGATCTGTTCAAAGTGTCAAGTTTATTATTTCACACTTTTCTCTGTCAGTCTTTAGGATGAATGGCAACTTTTTTTTTGCTCCCCCTGTCCAACTCCAAGTTCAGAGCTAATGGTTTTGGTAACAGAAAAAGATGTTCTGAATGATGTTTTCTAAATAGGACAATCACAAAGCAGATTTCTGAGCAGTGTTAACAGAAAACCTTGGCCCTACTAAAATATCTACGCTTACAATATCAAGGCTAGAGCCATTTACTTTCTAAAGTTTCTGTTAGAGCAAAAAGATACGTCATGAGTCATAACATGACAAATCCAACCAGGTTGTAGGAAAAAAAAGCAAAAATGCAGGGAAAACACTGATAACTATTCTATTGGAGCCCATTTGTGTTCTTCTCTGACACATGTGGGAGAATCAGTTAAAAGCTATTCTTTAATAAAGTTGAAAAACATTGAACCTCCATTTCTTTGACTAGGAAAAACAGTGCTCTAACTCAAAAAAAGAGTTCTTTACTGTAAATATATCAGATCATAGTTCATAATCCAAAATAAAGAAAAATGTAAAATGTGACTTGCATTAGCCAGTTTGTCAGCACCTTACATTTCAGATGAATAAAATTGTTTTAGTAGTTTAGGGAGCAAATGTACCAACACAAATAGATTCACACAGGAAGTTGAATTTCTTACACTAAACAATATGTTATAATACACAAAAAATGAGTTATATCTGGAAAATGAATTTTTTATACCAGAAAAATTAGACTTAATGCTAACTTAAAGAGGAACTACCATGATTAAAATAAATAAATAAATAAAAGTCAGTAGCTACAAATACTATAGCTGTTGATTTTTAAGAAACTCACCAATCACAAGTCCAGGAGTCCAGTACTTTTTTCAGCAAGGCGATTCTTTGCCAGTGTTTATAACAACAGTGCTGCCATCTTGATTGAGGGAGCTGGCTGTGACTTCCTGATGTTTCATAGCCAGCTCCCCATTACTCATACACGAGATCATGCTGTGGTTTCAGACTGGTCCCACAGCCTTCTGGGACTTGTGATATGTCCCAGGAGCTTGCGGGCAGGGAGGCAGGCTGAACTTCATTCTTGCTTAGGCGAGAAATGCAGAAGTGGGAGCAGGTACTGTACCTGTCAAAAATCGGTACCCGATCCCAGAAAAAGAAAACTTTCAAAAATAGTAGAGGGTGGAGGAGGAGGATAAGTGGAACTTTCACTTTTAAGTGATGTTCTGCTTTAACTCATGACCTAATTATAACCCATAACCAGAATTTATCTTTAACTTTATTTCTAAACCTAGCCATTAACCGTAACCTAGTCCTTCAAGGACAGTTTAACTTTTTATAGACCACTAGATCCTCTCTCAATCTACCCAGAGCTGTTGAATTATATTCAGCCCTTACTGCTATGGAGGACTATGTCCATCCTGAGTGTGGATTCATCTATAGGAATGAATGACTCAGTCAGAATTTTCTATTAAAACAAAAGCTATACAGCACTGAGCAACTCTATGACACAGGGGTGAAAAGTATTTAACACTGCTGGGTACATTGGAGTTGAAGGAACAACTGGGATGGGAGGTTGAAAGAACAACTTCCCTATTGTAAAGTCTCTTTTAAATTTAGCCTTCAAAAATGAAAAAGCCGTAACCCTTGACCTAACCCCTAAATGTAATCATTAATCTGAACCTACGCCTTAAGTATAACCTAATCCTCAGCATTAATCTGAAAACTAACTTTATCAATTCTAGAACATATTATTACACAAATCGTCAATATAAATATGCCTAGTACCACACATTTTACATCACCTATAGTGCTAAATTTGTAGAGAATATCAGTGCAAACCTTTTTTTTTTTCAACAATAGTCCATTAAAGTACTTCTGAAAGTATGTAGCTTGTCATTGCTGATCTTTTCTGAAAATGCTCATTGCTGACTGTGCCTGAGTTCAGTACTTTCTGGGTCACTAATTCAGAACATGGAAGATGCAAATGGACCTGGAGAAAACTCAGAACTCTTAATTTCTTCTGGGTTAGTGACTTCCTAAGTATTCAAGTCATTGGGCCAGCATGAAAGCAAGGCAACTGAAATTCTCAGAAGGATAGCTTGGAAATTACAGATTTTGTGCCTTGCATGTATACCTTAAATATGAAGGTCAAATGTAAAAGAATTTAGTTGTTTCTTGTAAAGTTGTTATTGGGCATGCCTGGTATGAAGGGCTAGTCCTCAGCTAGAATTTCACAGTCACATCCCTTATCCCTTTTGATAAATAGTTGGTTTCAGTATAGACAGGGATACATTTATACACATTTTCATACAAGATTCACTCAACTTTAACCCAAGATTCACACAGCTTTCTAATTGGATTAAATTGAAAAATGTATGAATGCTGGATGAAAATTGTGTGAATCTTTTGTAGACATTTAAAATAGACCCCTTGGTGTCTTTAGCAGCTTTTCTTTTTTCAAAGGTTAACAAAGGGTTCCTTGAGCAGTAACGGATTGATTTTACACCTGGCAATGCCTGCATAGTTCCATCACCAGCATCACTCAGCAGATCCAGTAGTGTGGGACCAATGGAGACTCTGTTCTCATCTATGAGATACAGTGTGTAACCATTTTTTGCTGTCTGTAATGGGGGTATTTTTCCAACTGAACACCAATGTAAGGGGGCCATTTTCCACTTACCACAAATGTTAGATGGCACAACCCTGTCCACCAATTTAAGGGTGGTTGAGGAAAGTGGAAACATAGTTCACCTTTGGGAACATGTTACATGTTTCACCCGTTTTTAGGGTGGAATATATAACATGTTCCCAGTGCTGCAACTGCTGCCCCTCCTCCCTGTGACAACAGTAAGGGGAGAAATTCTCCATACTAGCTATCATGACCTCCGCCCACATGGCCATGTCATTCATTCACAGTTTTCTGTGAATGAATGAACTACAAGTTCCGATATTTTTAGTGGCTATCGGCTTGTAGTCCTCAACGAACTACCAGTGCTGTGGTGTTCCGTGGTAGTTGATTGATTCTTTCTGTCAGTACATCTGCTTGATCATACATCCCATACTGGCAAGCAGACATACTGACAGGTTTGCAGGATACCTGCATGGCACCAGCGATCTGCTTTACAGATTCCTGCAAGTAAAAACAAGTAATGCACTTTTTTTTACCTTATTATTTTTGGTAAAAATGTGAACATATCCTTAAAACTTTTGATGCTGATGTAAACAATCTGGTTCCCAGACTGGCATCTTCTACACCCCAGAAGATTTCCATTGTTTCATTGGCTTGTAGTTTAACATAACAACAATAAAAATTGGATTACCACACCACCGCTAAGAGGTCTAGATATAACTTTATTCCAATAAAAGTCAGGGGGGCAATCCAAAAAGTAGCCACTGTGTTTTGGGAGGAAGTGCCCCTTAAATTGGTTTAACAAAAATGAAAATTGTAGCCCCCCCACCACCACTGTTAAACGTTCCAGATACAACTTTATTCCAATAAAAGTCAGGGGGACAATCCAAAGGGTTTTGATGAAGGCCAAACCAGCTGCCAGCAATACCTGTGCTTGTTCTCACTCTGGAAGAAATAACATTAAAGGTGCAGTTCACTTCTAGTCCATTCATATTTTCAATCAAGCCCTGATGAAGGGGGTATTTTTGGACCACTGAAACACGTTGGATACTCTTTGGATTGTCCTCCTGACTTAATTTCCTGGAATAAAGTTGGAATTGAACCTCTTAGCAGTAGTGTGGCATTTCATTTTCTGTTTTTGTTACACTGATTTAAGGGGGCACTATACCAATGTAAGGGGGTAATTCTCTTCCACATTGACACTATATTGACAATTGTCTTCTCTGAAAATGTAAAGAAACACTAAAATTCATTGCCTGCTTTAGCGGTCATTAACCAGTTCCCCACCGCCCTGTAGCAGAACCACTGCTACAGGGCAGAAATATGTTATTTTGCATTTCCGGGTAGGGGGGCACACGCCGACCTACCCGCGCCACCATAGATGACTACAGCTGTCGATTCCCTGCCGGCACCTGGCGATCACCAAGGAACAGTGAGGAATAGTGACAGGGGAGAGGTCTGTGTGTAAACAATACAGATCTCTCCCCTGTCACCACCAACAGGCTGATTTGGATTGCTCTGCATAGTAGAGCAATACACAGCAGTATGTTTCCCTAGTAAAACACAACACAGCACACACAGTAAAACAGCACACAGTTAACCCTTTGATCGCCCCAGATGCTAATCCCTTCCTGGCCAGTGCCATTAGTACAGTGTCAGTGCTTTTTATTAGCATTGATCACTGTATTAGTGTCACTGGGAATGTCAGTGATAGTTAGTCAGTTCCTCCCCAGTGTCAGAATGCCCGCCGCAGTAAATTTCAGTAAATATACCGCCATTTGTAGACGCTATAAATTTCACATAAACCAATTAACTTACACGTATTGGGATTTTTTTTTTTTTTTAGCAGACATGTAGCAGAATACATTTTCACCTAAATTTATGACAAAATTAGATTTTTAACATTTTTTTAACTAGATATGTTTTATAGCAAAAAATAAAAAATGTGTTTTTTTTTTTAATTATAGGTCTTTTTTTTATAGCACAAAAAATAAAAACCACAGAAGTGATCAAATACCAAAAATCAAATAAAGCTCTATTTGTGCGAATAAAGGACATAAATTTAATTTGGATGTAGTGTTGCATGACCGTGCAATTAACAGTTAAAGTAACACAGTGCTGTATCACCAAAAATGGCCTGGTCAGGGAGGGGGGTAAATCCTCTGGAGGGCAAGTGGTTAAAAAAAAAAAATTAAAAATTGTAAAAAAATGTTCTGTGTGTGTCAAATATACTACATTATTGTCTTGATTATAGTTACAATGTGCTGATCACATTAATGTACCTTGAGCTGTAGATATAATCATTTTTAGTTGAGATTCCCTGAGAACTAAAAATAATTGTAATTGTTCCTCCTTGGTAAAAATGTTAAGAAAGGCTACACAAAGCAGTCTGGATAGAGGCAAGGTGTGTGAATTTGTCCCATGCTGCCCCTAGAGGGCTCCATATGATTCCATTTTGGCAAACACATACCCGCATCTTATTTTCAAATACTGACCCAGTGTATGCAAATGATGCAACTGATCTGAACAAAGCTTATTATTATCTGGTTACGTAGCAGGATTGCCAATCATGCACATTTTCATATGCAGCCAAAAAAAGCAGCAGAGAAAACCACCTGTACATTAAATAAGTTTCAAATTAAAGTCCTATAAAATAAACTACAATAAAGCCCATAAGGGATACAGATAGGACTTGTTTCAAACCTTTTTTAGGACCATAATAAAGCCATTTGTCTGTTTCTGTGTATACTCTTACATGGATAAAAGATGGATCCTTCAACAAGTACTGTGGACTACAGAACTCAGTAGTGACATAGGGGCAGGTGGGAGGAACCAATGACTGTAACAGGGGACACAGGCATTCAACACCTCTCTAAATGCTGAAGACATTGTCAGAGGCTGTACTGCCTGAGGACAGCGGAATTCAGGCTAACCTTCCACCAGAGAGGTAGATATTCTGTGTCTTCTAATGCAAAATCAATGCTTTGGATTTATTTTAGTAAAAACTCAGCAAGCATCCATATTCAATGTGATAAAAAAAAAACACAGTTAGGACAAAGATCAACTCACTGACCACTTTTATTTATTGCCTGAATCTACTCTTTAACAAAAGAGATTTAAATTGTGCAATTAGTTGATAAAAGCATGTAGAATTCCACAGACAGGTTTCCAAAGCCTGAGACTGCATGTGGAAATCTGTGTCTATTATTTAGTTTGTAAAAGACAGATGAGTAGAACAGGACCTCCAATAGATCCTGAGGCTATTTTCCCAGTAAATGCTGTGGTGTGACTGTGGTGTAGGGAGACATGGGGTATCTGTTGTTAAGCACTGGCTTTTGGGGCTCATTCACATGTGAGGTTGGGGTAGCTGTAAAACCCTGCAGTTGAGTCACCCTTTTACCACCCTCGACTGCTACCCCCTTAAGCTGCAGAGACAGTAGCTGGGGGTTGCACACATGCCATGGCTCCAATGCTTTGGTTAGCAGCCTGCGGCAGGAATTATACCGCTGGCACAATACCCCCTGTATTGCTCTTCCACACACACTTTCAGAAGGTGAGTTCCTCTCTCCTTTGGAGTTCTCTCTTCATTGACAGCAGTTTCTGAGCTCCCTGCATCCCCTCTGAACACCTCTCAGCACTCCTCAGTCCTCATGGTGCTTCCCTCTGTAGCTGTACCCACTAGGGATGAACATGGGTTTGGTCCAAACTGGCTTCAGTCTGAAACCAGAAGTTAGTTATCATTGCTTGGCCAATTGGCTGCAGACCGGAGGTTTCCCACTCTGCAACTGCACATTTTCAAATGTCTTCCTCAGTGAAGAAATTTTCCATTTATTGATTTAAGTGGAAAACAATTTCAACAGATAAAGAGTTTGTTAAAGTGACCCTGTTGCAAAGATACATTCTGTCCAAAATATGTGTCTGTAAGAGAACAGAGAATATAGTCTATCCCGCTCCCCACACTGCTTGATACCCTCTGTTGCTGAAACATGGTTCTAGGTATTCGGTTGGGAAACTGACTTTCGACTGTTTTCCCACTGTTCTCACTTATTCCTCCTGCTGTCCTCAGGACATAGTTATGACATGAATATCACTGGGAGGAAACACTGTGTACACCAGGTGCACATAAGATTGACATTTAAAGTGGTTCTAAAAGCATACTTTTAATTTTTTTAAATAATGTAGCACTACCTCCTTAGAAGTCGCTAAGTCTTGGGCCCCCTACAGCTCTGCACAGGCAGGCAACATGCATTTTCTTCCACACTTGCACACTAGAAATAGTAAACAGTCCTCAAGCTTGATTTTGTGATTTTATCAACCTTCTTAGCGGTTTTCCCGAGTCTGGCTTGGGTTTAAATGTAGCTGTCAAAAGCGGTAACCCCAAGCCAGACTCGGGGTCACCGCAAAATACATACCTGGTCCTGCGATCCGTGTCCCGGGTCCTGCAGCCGCCTCGAGTCATCCCCTCCGACCATCCCCTGTCTTCTTCGTGGCTATCTCACGCTGATCTGTGTGATCAGCGTGAGACAGCCGCTCTGTGCCATCGGGGGGGCGGGGTTTTGCGGGAGACAGGAGTTTTAAAAATAGACCTGTGTCAAAATAAAGTGTTACTCTAGTGCATACATTGTAACTTTACCTCAGATATATCCATAGTGCAGTTTTTCAGTTTCAGTGACTAAAAACGGTTTTGCACTTGTGGCTTCCAAAAAGCGTCTCACTAGCGCCAAAGCGGTTTATGATGAGCTAGCAAACAGCGACAGTGAGGAGCTACTTGAATTGAGTGATAGCAACTTATGTGGAGGTTTGTCTTTAGACACCGACAGTGAAGACAGCAGCAAATCTGAGATTGACGTGAGTGATCTGCGAACGAGGTGTACTACTGATTGCGATACGCCAGCACCGCCAAGATTAACGTTTACCGGCGCACCTGGTATGAAAGTCCACGTTGAAGGTGACAACCCCTTGGTGTACTTAGAATTGTTTCTGACCGATGAGGTTATTGAAATAATCGAGATGGAGACAAATAGGTACAATTAGCTGCTCCATACAGCAGGTTTTCACGAAGCAGAAAGTGGGAACCTGTGACCAAAGAGGACATTTGGCTGTTTCTCGGGCTAATTATTCTACAAGGAGTGGTGGGGAAACCACTGCAAACGTGGTATTGGACCACCAACAAAATGTTTCTCACACCGTTCTTTGGCACAGTCATGTCGGAGTACAGCTTTTCACTTATCATGAAATTTTTGCACTTCGCAAACAATGAAGATTTTGACAAAACAACTCATCCGGCTCCCAAGCTAAAAAAAATTTGGGAAGTCTCCCAAATAATTGTCAGGAATTTCCAGCAGAGCTATGCGCCAGAGAGGGACATTAGTATAGATGAAAGTCTAATGGCTTACATAGGAAGGCTCAGCTGGATACAGTATATCGCATCCAAGAGAGCACGATTTGGTGTCAAATCCTACCTGCTGTGCGAATCCTCTACTGGCTACATATGGAACACAATTATTTACACCGGCGAAGGAACAAAATTTGATCCTAAGTACAGCAAATATGGAATGGCAATATCATCTGTCCTGTCACTAACTGAAAAACCAAGGCTACTGTGTAACAATGAACAATTTCTACCCCTCTCCAGAACTTTACGAGGTTCTTCTGCAGCACAAAACGGATGCCTATGGAACCGTTAGGGCTAACTGGCACAACCTGCCACCAATGTTTGGAAAAACCAAACTGTACCCTGGAGAAATAGTTGCCTGGCAGAAAGGCAAAATGATGGCACTGAGATGGCAGGACAAGAAGGATGTGTGCCTAATGAGTATCATTCACAATGCCTCTGCAGTGATGGTACAATCAAAAGGTGAGAAAAACATTCTGAAGATGCAGGTAGTTATTGACTACAATAGCACCATGGGAGGTGTTAACAGAGCTGACCAAGCTATGACTTTCTATCGGGCAATGAAAAAGCAGCAGAGGAAATACTACAAGCCTGTGCTTCATCTACTTTATCTGGAAAGTTGAGGAATCCATCTTATTCAAACACCAAACGCCATCAGTGTCTGTGGGTAGATCCGGACGGACGTGCTGTGGGAGTTGTCAACCCAGAACGCCTGACTGGACATCACTTTATGGACCACATCCCACCAACCCAAAAAAAGGCAGCACCTACACAGATGTGCGTGGTGTGTTGCTCTTGGTGAGATGAGAGTGGAAAAAAAATCCGCAAGGAAACGAGGTTCCACTGTCCTGATTGCCCTGATGTTGGACTTTGTGTAGTCCCGTGTTTCAAAATATTCCACACCCGTGATGTTTTCAGTGTCTATATAATATTGTTTGGACAGAGTTCCATGTGTTTGATTTGATTACATTATTTAATTTCTTATTATATTATTATTTTTATAATTATTTATTATAAATAAATAATATATAATAGCGCCTGTTGTCTTCTGCATTTGCCACAGGGCTCGCTTTTCCATCCTCAGGGTCACTTTAACCCCTCCAAGTTGCGGTCTTTCCTAGAAGGTTGCCAAGCTAACTTGTCTTGTGACCCCGAGGATGGAAAAGCGAGCCTGGTGGCAAATGCAGAAGACAACAAGCGTCATTTCTAAATGACACAGATGGGCTACTAAACACTTTTGATATCCTGTTCCAAACTGGCCAACAAGGACTAAGAGAACCAAAGGGAAATACTGGCTTTACTGGCTTCAAAGGTATAAAGGGT